CAAAAAATACTTAAATACCATGGACTGCAAGAAGAAAAGGGACTCTGATGGCCTAGTGCCTAAGGCATTTGACTGCTAATTAGAAGGCTGGTGGTTCAAACCTATCAGCCACTCCTTGGAAGGAAGGTTGGGCAATCTACTTCTGTAGTGATACTGCCTCAGAAACTCAAGGAAGGGTCACTATGAGTCAGATCTGACTCAGCAGCAGTGGGGTAGTGGTGGGTAAGAAGAAAGAACAAATCTGTCTTGGAGGAAGCACAGCCAGAATGCTCCTTGGAAGCTAGAATGGCCAGAATTTGTCTCATCTACTTTTTTCATGTTGGCAGAAGGGACTATTCCCTGGAGAAGGATATCATCATTGGTAAAGTAGAGGGTCAGCAAAAAACGGAAAGACTCTCAACAGTTGGTTTTACACAGTGGCTGCAACAATGGGTTCAAGTACAGCAAGTTTTTTGAGTATGGCGCAGGACTGGGCAGTGTTTCTGTCATGTTTTAGTGCTTCATTTTGTCGCTATGAGTTTGAGCTGACTCAATGGCCCCTAAAAACAACAACATGATTTGCCCTATCTCATGGAAATAACTCTTATATAATTGCCAGGATTGATAAGTGCTAAATCCTTTGGTCTGTTAGTCTATGATTTACAAGCTTAATCCCTCTCTTCAGTCAGGTGTCATGATTTAGCTTGACTTGTAACCATCAACTGACCATTGGCATCATCATTCACATCAGCCCATATAAAAGGTTTATGCACAGGCCCACTTCATGGTCCTTCCATAGAGAAGTTATATCTTTAGGCCTATTTTCACTCTAAATCGTGGGGCTCATTACATACATGGAATAGCACTGTTTTCACTTGGGGTATAAAGATTGCCTTATCCATACATCTCAGTTCTTGGCATACTAGCGCTGATGTTGTGCAAGGTCCTTATTGTATGTTATTTATTTCTATATTTCCTTGTATCTCCATGCCACACTCCTTTCTCTTCCCCTGTAGAGAGAGAAACCTTACATCTCCAGGTTGTCTCAATCTTTACTGGTTTATACCTGTTGTCTCCTTTCCTTCTCAAAAGTGTAG